AGGGCTGGGGGGGAGGGAGGTTGGGGGAACCAGGTAGTGGGTATTAGAGAGGGCACAGATTGCATGGAGCACTGGGTGTGGTGCAAAAACAATGAGTACTGTTATGCTGAAAATTTAAAAAAAAAAAAAAAGACCATAGCATAAAATGAGTGTGAATAAAACATCAAAATCAATGCTGAAAAGAAAAAAAGACAATCTTGTCAGAATAGTTTAGAGTAAAACACATAAATAAATTCAAGATAAATAAAAGGCAATAAAATTAGTTTTAAATCAACAAGCTGTTGATTAAAAATATAAGGTTCAAAACCTTAAAAATCTTTGTACATGCATACGTAATAAAATATATCACAGATAGTAAAAAGTAATCATTCCACTTAATGGAAGGAAGGAAGGAAGGAAGGAAGTCCCACGTCTGGCTCCCTGCTCAGCAGGGAGTTTGTTTCTCCCTCTGACCCTCTCCCCTCTCATGCTCTCTCACTCTCTCAAGTCTCAAATCTTAAAAACAAAACAAAACAAACAAACAAAAAAAACTGAATTATCAACCTAAACTGGCCATTTCTTCAGTATATGAGTAAACAACCAATTCAAGCTATTTCTTCCTCTTAGGTTGCTCATCTTGATACTGAAGAATAGAGGCTTAAAATTTTCTCACATTCAAATAAAAAAGAAAACTTTTTCAATACTGTATATTTTACTTCATTGAGTCATTTTTTGAAGATGGCTAATTGACATAGGAGTCCCTTAAAAAAATTCGTAGCCTCCCAGAATATTCTACCAACCAGAATATCCAAGTCTTTTTTTTCTAATCCTTCAAAAGATTTTATTTATTTATTTATTCTTTCTATCATTGCATTTTTTCCTTTTATTTTTTTTTATTTAAATTCAATTAATTAACATATATTATTAGTTTCAGAGGTAGAGGTCAGTGATTCTTCAGTCTTATATAATGCCCAGTGCTCATTACATCACATGCCCTCCTTAATGTCCATCACCCAGTTACCCCATCCTGCCACCTCCTTCCCCTCCAGCAACCCTCAGTTTGTTTCCTATGGTTAAGAGTGTCTTATGGTTTTTCACCCTCTCAGATTTCTTCTTGTTTTATTTTTCCATCCCTTTCCCTATGCTCCTCTGTTTTGTTTCTTGAATTCTACATAATGAATGAGGTCATATAATAATTGGCTTTACCTGACTGACTTATTTTGATTAGCATAATAAATACCCTCTAGTTCCATCTGCGTTGTTGCCAAATGGCAAGATTTCATTTTCTTTTTGACGGCTGAGTAGTATTCCATTGTATATATATACACTATATCTTACTTTATCCATTCATCTGTCGATGGACACCTAGGCTCTTTCCAGAGCTTAGCTATAGTGGACGTGGCTGCTATTAACAGTGGGGTGCACGTTCCCCTTCAGATCACTGTATTTGTATCTTTGGGGTAAATACCTAAGTAGTGTAATTCTTAGTCACTCTAAATGAACAGTAATTTATAGCAAATTCTCTAGCCTTCCTTTTATCCTCTACGATTGTACACTTTTTTAAGACCAAAGAATATTATTTATATAGTAGAGGTAAGAATGCAACTCTTAAAATGCAAATCAAGTCTGACACCCCTGAATTTGAATGTTTTTCCACTCTTGCTAATTCAAAGTATAGTTTTATACCAAAAGTATCAGTATCACCTGGATGCTTATTAGAAATGTTGTCTCTCTGGACAGGTCTACTGAATAAGCTTGTACATTTTAAGAAGAGCCACAGGTGAACCAACACCATTAATATTTAAGAAGCACTGACATAGATTAGTTATTAGATACACTTCCTTGAGCAAGTTAGAAGATTTCTTGAAGACCCAGTTTTCTCACGGAAAAATGACACTAATAATGATGTCAAGAGCTTAGTCATATTACGAGAAATAATTAGATAATGCTACTTAGTAAATACTCATAGGTCGATCTGGCATTAAACTTTATCTACCTCAAATTTGTACGTTCATGGTATTTTCTGGTATGTTTACTTGTGGAATTACATTGGCATCCCACCCAGATAAATTAAGCTCTTTTAGTCTAGAAGTCTCCCAGAGTATAAGCCTACAACAAAAATAGAAGTTAATTAATAATGCCATCTTGCATTCATTTACAGTACAATGTAGCACCTGTTTTTCAATTAGCCTCAAAACATTTCCCTTTGAAATAATGTGTGTGCTGTTTTTGTGGAGTCAAAAAAAGTTAAATAAAGAATTTAGTCTGAAAACAAACATGACTCTTTCCCCCTGACATATAATCTAATTCCACATTTAATTAGTCATTGTGATTTCTCTATTCTGCCATTAATGCATTTAGGATAGTCACTGGTCCCCCACAGAACTCAAATAATGTGCAGGTGTCTAGAGCTTTAAATCCAAATGGTGAAAAAGAAACTCTCAATAGGTTCAATTTTAATCCAACTAAATCAAGAGATACGATATTTCATTCTGTGATCATTTTTCATGGAACTTTGATGTCCGGATTATCCACTTCTTATGTTTGGAGGAAAAAGGTAAGCTGATAAAAATTAGTATAATTGGAATCCTTTTCAGTTGTCATTGAGTGAGTTAATTAATTAATTACTTAAGTAGAAAGTACTTATTTTTATTAAATAAACTTTTATTGAAAACACACTTTAACATTTGTAAATGATGCGTAAAAATGGTATTCACATACCCAAAATTTACGAGAAGAATGCTTCGAATCTTCCAGTAATGAAAACTTACTTTACCATGTATATATTTCTTAAAAATTAAATGTTTCAACTTCTGGCAATATGGCATTCAAGTATTCCAAAGAACTTTCCTTTTATATTACAACAAGATCCTGGATATTTTAAGAACCATAAAGATTTATAAGTGCCAAAAAAACAGGCAAAATTTCTGAGTGCCCAGATATATAGATATATAATAGAGTAAGCTAAAAATCTGAACTGTGAGTGATAAGTAAACAGGACATTCGGAGTTGTCCTGGGACAAATTCTTGTAACAGTACTGTGATTTGTAGACTAAGAAGAGAAGCTAAACACAAGCCCCAGCATTGTCTCTAACAGAAGATGTATAGGAACTTTATAAAATAATTTTAAACTATTATTTAATAGAATAAAAACTTGCTCAGTGGCAAGAAGAGTCTATTTATAAATGAGAAGGACAAAGTATCATAATGATATCAATCTTCCCAGTTTGGTCTGAGTCAATGCAAACACCAATCAAAATCCCAGGAAAGATTTTCTTGGATAATGGCAAGATGAATCTAAAACTTAAATTATGAAGGTTCAAGAATACTCAAGATCCTTCCGAAGAATACGGGAAGGGACTGGGCTTGCCAAAAATCTAGCTTGATATCTGGAGCTCTCTGGGGTAATGCAAGCTAAAAAACGGCCATGGGAAAAGTGGTTAGAAAAACATTTCATCTGAAGTGCAACCTAGGGACCCGTGGTTAAGCATCTGCCCTTGGCTCTGGTTACGATCCCAGGGTCCTGGGATAGAGCCTGGCATCAGGCTGATGCTCAGCAGGGAGAGCTTCTCCCTCTGCCTCTCCCCCTGCTTGGGCTCTCTCTATCATATAAATATACATATATAAGTGAATGAGTGAATGAATGAATGAATGAATAGAAATAAACTGCAATCTAACAATGTATACTGACATTAGTCTCAGGTAAAGTAAATCAATCTGAAAGACAGAACTTTTTAGAATAAAATATATAAAGAATGTTTACAATTTCAGGATAGAGAAGGAATTCTTAAAACACACACCCTGAAATACTAATAACTTTTTTTTACTCATAAGTTTTTTAAAAGGTCACTGTGACTACGTTAAAATGAAGAATGTATTTTGTCAGAATAAAACCACCAGAACAATGAAAACAAGTCACAAGCAAGTCACAAAAAGATATTTGCATTACACAGAAGTTAAATGAGTTACCATCAAGAATATATGACCAAAAATCAATTTAAAAAATTAAAATGTGCAAAACATACAAACAGATATTTCACTGAAGAAACAAAAATGGTGAGTGGATAATGAAATAAGTTGTCTGCCTCAGGACTAAGAAGGGGAGGTTCTACTTTACACTTTACTTCCATTTGCTGGTCCACAATTAAGAAATCTGTCATGGCCATTTATTGGCCAGAATACGGATCAGTGGGGACTCGTATACAGCTGGTGGAGGTGTAAACTGATACAACCATTTTGGAGTACACTATGGTCTACTGATTCTCCTGTCATGTATATAACTCCCTACAGGTATCCCTGCATTTATGTACCATGAGACTTGTTCAAGAAAATTCAGCAGCAGTATTCACAGTAGCACTCATCTGGAGATAATTCGAATGATAGTTTGCCAACAGAGAAGAAATGAACCAATGGAGATATGCCCTCATAAGATAATTTTCAACTGTGAATGAAAGTGAATTTGAGCCAAGTGCGAACACTCAGATAAATACACACGTAACGTTGAGGGAAGAAAGCAAGTGTTGACAGCTGTATACACTACAATATTTTAATAAAGCTGAAAAACAAGCAAACTCACAACCACTGTTTTTCGCAAAACATTTATGCGAGGTGTGTCTATTTTTAAAAAGAAAAGAAAGTGAGTCCTGGCCGCCTTACAGGGAAAAGAGATGATTACAAAGACAGCTTGAAGGGTACTGGCAATATTTTTGGGTCTTATGTTGTATCATAGATTTAAACATGATGAATGTGCCACATAACTTACAAATGGATAAACAGATGTATGCCCTAATTAAATACACTGTTCCTATGTTATAAAATCACCTAACATAAAAAATAAACTAATCATCAGAAATACGCTGATTATTTTGCGTTCCACTATGAAACTGTGATCTCTCACCTTTTAGTAACACGTTACCTCGACATTGTTTCCAAGGTAAAGGAAGCATACTAGAGAAAAAGAAGTATGAAAAATAAACAAGCAATGGAAAATAATAAAATGAGCAGATCCAACTTAAACTCACCACCAAAGCTTTAGATCTGTTGCTTAGAAGTTTCTCAATATCCCTCGCTGCAATTTCTACCAGCTGCCGTGCATTATTTGGCTCCACAGTATACAAATCTTGATACTTCTCATAAATCTGCATGGAGAGAAAAGAAAATTAATAATAATTGCTTATGTGGTTCCGAAGTTCATAGTAGAATGTATTTTAAACATACCCACTTTAGAAAGACCCACTCTTTCCTTTCTTCATTGTGATCTTTTTGGAACATGGATGTGTCAAAAATATGTATGTAAATAAAAATTCGCTATCAGACCACCAGCTAGCATGCCCTGTTAAAAGGCTATAAAATAGGGGCACCTGGGTGGCTCAGTGGGTTAAAGCCTCTGCTTTCAGCTCAGGTCATGATCCAGGGTCCTAGGATCGAGCCCCACATCCAGCTCTCCACTCAGCAAGGAGCCTGCTTCCCTTCCTCTCTCTCTGCCTGCCTCTCTGCCTACTTGTGATCTCTGTCAAATGAATACATAAAATCTTAAAAAAAAAAAAAAAAAAAAGGCTAGAAAGTATCTTGTACCACAAAGATCTGTGTACACAATTTTTTAAAGGTCCTTTTTTTTTTTTAAGATTTTATGTATTTATTTGACAGAGAAAGAGTACAAGCAGGGGGAGCAGCAGGGAGCGGGAGGAAGCAGGCTCCCACTGAGCAGAGAGCCTGACGTGGGGCTCGATCCCAGAACCCTAGGTAGGTGACCAGACCCGAAGGCAGATGTTCAAACAACTGAGCCACCAGGCGCCCTTGTGTATTTCAAGTTTGTGACTTGAAATTGTACCTCCCTGAATGCGAAACCTGGTATTAACTGCCATTGGGATTTTTTTTTTTTTTTTTTTTTTAAAAGAAAGGCCATGCTAGAAAACAGTAGGACAGAAGCATGGCAGGTCAAGACTTGGAGCGAACCAAGATAGTAGGAAGGGGGAACCAATAAGGTACTGAAGGAGACTCCCCATGGTTATCCTGCCAGCTACAACCACTGAGATTAAAGTGTATGCTGCTAAACCTTATGAAGGGATGGGGAGAGAGCAGAGAGAGGGGCAGGGAGAGAGGGAAAGAGAGAGAATGAAGCCTCTGCTCTGGTTCACCCAGGTAACACGGGGAGCTTTACTACACAGAAGGGTTGAAAGTCACTGAGGTCTACATTCAAGTTCGGTTAAATCTGTAACTGTAAATATTTTTCATTAGCAAACTGAATCTTTGGGGTTTGGTCTTCTCTGAATCACTGAATCAAACTACGCTGGAAGCAAGCCAGGCAGCAAAAGAAGCCTGTGATTTTGCCTCACATCAGTATCCATAGAAGGATTTCCCTGGAGTGGCCTCAGATGCACCTGTTTTCAGAGCCCGCACACTCCTGGCAGGGGGGAGGAATTAAAGAAGGAGGGGTGAGAAGAAACAGCAACCATGCTTGTGGCTACAGGGCTGAGCCGAGTAGGAAACCCCTTATGCATCCAACAGATGGGTTGCACATGCATGACTAAACCATCTTTGAAAGCCAGGGCCTGGCAGGTTTTTATCGTCTTAGGAGAAGTGAATCCAGGGCACATGCAGGAACCAGTTCAACCCTGTTTTTTCTGGCACAACTCCAGCGTTGTGCAATACTACCAACAGGTCCTACAGCCTGCTTCCAGCTGACCACGGATGCTACTGGTAAACGCTGCTTTCACATATGCACAGATGTATACGCTAACATGTATTTGTAACCAAACATGTTAGTTTTACATGAAGTTTTCATATTTTTAGGGAATTCAAAATTAATCATTTTAAAAGATTTAAATCCAGCTTTTACTCCTATTTTTTTTTAACTTATTCAAACTATGAACTTTTTCTCATAGTCATTTAAATTTTGACCCTATAGGTTCATCATCCCAACTATTCAAGGCACAGTCATCTGGTCATATAAAATCCCCACATGTAGTTTTATTTGGAATTCCTGCCTATTACTGGATTGCTCAGACTTTCTGCTAAGGGGCAGATTGTGGAGTCCTGTTTTAAAGACCAAGTTGCCCATGAATAACTTCATCCAGCCCAAGGCTCTCTCTTTCATTTTAGCCTAAGATGATATCCAGGAACATGAACTCCTGAAAAGATTAATTGATTTGGGGTACAAACAGATAAACCTCAACATCACTGTAATTGATCCAGGGCATTTAGTTCTTTGCAGGAAAACCAATAAAGCTAATTGGTGTGAAAGCACTCGTGCTTTGTGCCGTTAAGATCGTGTTCATTTCTAAATGAAGTCTGACCTTCTTCCTGTGGTACAGGGACTATGACAGAATTTAGAGTCGGTAGAGATCAGTTCCAAATATACAATCTGTACTTTGCATTATGTACGAAACGTAATGTCACTTATTAAGTCACTACCTACATATGCCAGATATAAGTTCTTTAAAGAATGAATGGAGTATGAATCAGACAAAAACGATTCAGTTCATGTATATGCAGATCCTCTCAAATATATACAGAAAATTCTCTAAAATTGATTCTAGGGTAATTTTTTCATGCTTAGAAAATTAAAAAAAGAAAACAGAACCTAATTCACAAATAAACTTTAAATAAGCGAAGTCAAGGAAGCTTACATCTACAGCCCCAATACAAATATCCTGTTGTACTCTGTTATGTATAAAACCACATTTGAAATGTTTCTTGGTAATAAAAATTAATTAAAACCATATAACTGCCCCCACCAAAAGAACTAGTTCTTGCTTGTTTTATTAAATTTTATTATTTATTCATTTGAGAGAGAGAGAGAGAGAGAGAGAGAGAGCACAAGCAGGGGGAGGGGCAGAGAGAAAGGAAGAGGCAGACTCCCCAAGGAGCAGGGAGCCCAATGCAGGGCTCAATCCCGGGACCCTAGGATCATGACCTGAACCAAAGGCAGATGCTTAACCGAATGAGCCACCCAGATGCCCCTTTTTTTCCTTTTTTCAAAAACAATTGTCTGTTTTACCATTTTATCCAATTCTTTCCAGAAAAAAATAAAAGAACACAGTGTAAATAACATGAGTTTTCGATACTAGACAGAGCTCCGTTCAAATCATATGTCAATTCCTCTTATGTTACGTTGACACTAGCTTCCATTTCTTCTACTAGAAAGAATGTAGTATATAATGAGAATACTAGACAGGATATTTTTCCTCCTGACTGATATTCTCATATGCTTTAATTTTTCTACAGTGCAAATCCTCTCACTTCCATCCTTGCCACAAGTTCTGACAGAAAAAATATCTGTCACCTGTCAATTCTTGCTTTCTTATGATCTTAATTAACTGGCTTTAATGAACATTCACTATTACATTCATGGACAACAGAGAATATAGTTTCCCTTTCTTTTTCCACTGGAACCTTCTAAGTCTCTTTGCTCCAAGTCCATAGTTTCAAGATAATCTTCAGAATGATACATTTAAAAATAACCTCAAGTATAATATTAAAAACTGACAGCACTCATTGATATAATTACTTCATAAACATACCTAAAGAAATATTTCAGAAATCATAATACTTACTATTATGCCATGGAATAACACAGATAACCCAGAGCAAGATAGGCTTCCGAGTTTTGGATGCAAATCCAAATGGGTTCAAAGTGATTAGCAATCACGTTGAGGCTTCTACTCTTTACCACTCTGAGGTGTTTCACCTACATTATACCATTTACTCACTTTAAGAAACCTGAAAAATACATTTAATTAACCATTGCATTAGTGAGAATACCGAAATTCAGGCTTTAGAGTATCAGAGTGGAGGCAGTTTGGGTCCCAGATCACATCGTAAAGGAGCAAACCACTGACCAGGGGAAAGCAGCCGAAGGGGAAATGGTAACGTGGCACGTTTAGGCAAAGTATATCTGTAATACCACTCAGCCCAGGATCTCATCTGGCTTCAGCAGGACATGGAAAAAAAAGAAAGGCTGCTGGGATGAACAAGAAAGGTAGCTCAGAATTAATCTGTCTGCTAGGACACTAAGTCAGTGATAATCAAGGGAATTTCAATGCAGAGCTTGAGAGATGGACAGTGGGGAGCTGAGTTCCAGCTGAAGGATGATGGTGCAAACCACCCACAGTTGAGGGGCCCGAAAGAGGCTGAAGAGATTGGCCAAGTATTAGTAGCAATCATATTCAATATCTATGCCAAGAGCACAGAAAACAGCGAATGTACTACACATCTTGTCACATGCTTCCCCCTGCACCCAGATGCCAAGGAGCAAAGTTTTTAAGAACACCAGAGATTATTGGAAGGGAGTTGGGAGAGACCTTGAAATTCTGCCACTAAGTTTTTTTCCCCCAGGGGGAGAGAATGGCAGGTCTTAAATAAGTTAAGTTCCCTTAAGAGAAACAGAAATGGCTGCATATTAAGTCTTAAATATGTAAATTTTGACAACCCTTTCCCTCCCATGGAACTCATCTTGAATAAGCAATCAAGATTTCTGCCATGCCCACAGTCATCTTTGAGACAAGTTTTCCTTTTGACAGTCCCCGATGAAAGAAGAGTCCTACAGGTTTCCTTACAAATGGGTAGCAATATTCTAATGTATGACCTTGACCCTGGCCCCTGACTAATTGCATCAGGACATATCAGATCTAGAAGCAGCTAACTTCTACTTCTGACATATCAGATCTAGAAGCAGCTAACTTCTAACCTGTGAGGCAACAGGTCCAAAAGATCTGTATAAATGATGACAACACACTGAACCAATCAGATTCTTTTGCCACATGTGGGACAATAGTTAGGTGGATCAAGGGCAGAAGAAGCAGAATTCTGACTAGTGGAAGGAAAGCAGCATACAGATATTTAAGCACCAGAGGGATGGCTATGCTAGGAGGTATACTGGCCTCCCAGAGGGACCCACTTGCTAATTGCCAGGACCTGGAACTATATGCTGTTACATGGCAAAGGGGAATTAAGTTTGCAGATGAAATGAAATTTTACTCATCAGGCGAACTGAAAAGAAAGAGATTATCCTGGACCATCCTGGTGAGTCCAATGTCATCACAAGAGTCCTGAAAAGTGGAAGGGGAGGACGTGACTATGCAAGAGGAAACCGGAGAGATCACAGCATGAGGAGAAACCCTCCCGATGCTGCCAGTTC